ACACACACACACACACACACACACACACACACACACACACACACACACACACACACACACACACACACACACACACACACACACACACACACACACACACACACACACACACAAAATGCCGGAACAATATGATACATTGCTGCTATAGTTTGAGTACTTGTATCAATTAAATAAATACCTAATAATTATGAGTTAATATTCAATGTAAAGTTTCTTTTTTACACGTATGCAGGCAGTATCATATACATAACCGTGACACTTACGAATCGCTCCCACACATTTGTCTTCATGACTTGATTTTTCTCGTCCTACAAATAATAAATGTAATTGAAATTATATGAGATGCCTTCCAATGTTACCATGCAGTTTTGCTCACACTAACTCCTGACCAAGCCAAACGACGAAAACGCAATGTTTTATAAGCCTTAAGTATACACTGTAGTCAGATGCTTACATCATTAAATGGCGTACAGGAAATCTGTTGCCGACGCTGTAAAAATACTGTACACTCGTATAATCTGTACGTAACATGTAATGGTTTTACTCGTATTCTAAAATTACACAACTTCCGTAAATAATTGAAACATCTACGATGTCTTCATCAATTGACCTCTTGTAACGTCGACGTCGTAAAATGGTTTGGTGTGCGTACTTCACTTTGAACTGCACACTTTCTGTTCGCCGCCTGAGGCTTGCTCAGCGTTTCAGATACTCCAGATGTTTAATTATACAACATATAAATTTAGATAGACTATGAATGATGACTATTTAGTACTCCGACATGTCCGGCGCATAGCCCAGATCATAACCTAATGTGGCTGTATTTCTAGTGCAGAGTGCGTGCGTGCGTGCGTGCGCGCGCGCGCGTGTGTGTGTGTGTGTGTGTGTGTGTGTGTGTGTGTGTGTGTGTGTGTGTGTGTGTGTGAGATTGAAAGAGACAGAGAGAAGGAGAGAGTATTCGTGTCTTCGTCTGTTCTGTGTATTCATGAGTAAATGCGCTCGTTATGCCTTTGAAAATGTTGAGTTGTCAGGTATAGTAATGTTATGAATTAAATCAATAATAACCCGAATTTAAACAACAACTGAAATCTGAATATTAGAAGCATCTATACTCACCACATTAATTACTTGCACCAGTGCCATTCCAAAGTTTACGTAAATCACATCACTCGTTTGATTGGCGGGTCTCACATATTTGTTGTAGCCATTAAACAGGTCGCGTATTAGACGTTCCTCGGCCGTGTATGTTTTCACTGAAACTGATAAGATTTTACACACGGTTATAAACGTTTATAAAAGAATGCTCTCAAGTATTGGCCGGGTAATATTATGATATCGGGAGCAAATTAATAAAGCATAATATATATTTATATTTATTATACTCTCTCTCTCTCTCGTAACCATTCTTCTTCTCTCCATCGTCTCTCTCTCTCTCACTTACGTCTCCTCGACTCTCATCTCTCTCGTCTCTCACTTCACTATCCATCGTCTCCGTCTCTCGTCGTCTCTCTTCTCTCTCTCTCCTCTCGCACATCACTTCTCTCTCTATATATTACTATATGTATATATAGATATAGATATAGGATATATAGATACTATAATACTCTATTCGTGTATGTGTCCTACTAGAAGTATTATGTCGGCTTTGCGTTACTTGCCCTACTGAGTATTATACTATCGCCGAAACGCGAAAATGTTAATGAAATAAACTTGCCTTGTTTTAAGGGCGCAATTAACAAATCCTGTTCATGTATTTTACTGTTTAATATTATTTATTCACGTATTAACTTGCTTGATTAAAACGACACCCACCCAGCTCACGCTGCGCGCAGCATAGCGGTTGATATTGCCATTGTAGAACCCCACAAAGGGTGGCCACTAACACACTTATATACCCTAAAAAAAACTCGGTCTTTGTTTTTTATGTGTAACTGCTATATATTTCGTCAATTAAGCCGGTGATTTTATCATGCGACTTGCAGGAAAACTGATCTTCTTAAATCCATTCTCTCGTAATCCCAGCATCCATTTGTGACGCTATGTGCCTCGAGAAAAATAATATTAATCTCGGTAATCTTCCGCAGAGAAATATCGATGAGAGTTTACGTATATGATGATATCCGGAAGTAGGCCCTACTTGAGAAGAGGAATATAGAATATACTCTGAATATTCATTACCTTATATACTGCATTATTCAGTGTATAGTGTACTAAATTGGTCTCGTGTTCGCGGCACTCCGACTCGTAGAAATAGTTGCACGCTCGCCTGCGCATGCGCACGCCTAAGATAATTACTCGGTGCTTCTCATAAATTCTCATTCGTTAAGTATTCTGATGGTTGAAGATTCTGCTGTCTTGAAATTAAACAACGACGTATTTTCATCCGGACGAACAGCTGGCGTTTACTACTGCTTCTTATCAATGCGTTTTTTAATTTAAAAACTCTGGGCCTACTTTCGACAAATTTTGAGTAGATACATCTATTTTTTCAACGCAGGACAGAGACTCCAAATAACCTCTATTTTGGCTGTGGGACGATTCCTTAATCACCGGAAAATTGGTCCAAATATTAAATTATAGTGTGCATGTGTGTATGTGTCCGCTGTGTCTGTGTGCTTGTGTGTGCGTGCTGCGTTGTGGGTGGAAGGGACGTGTGTGTCGGTGTTGTGTGTGTGTGGTGTGTGTGTGTGTGTGTGCGTGTGTTGTGTGTCGTGTGTCTGGTCTGGTTTGTGTTTGTGTCCTCTGTGTGTGTGTGTGTGTGTGTGTGTAGTGTGTGGTGTGTGTGGTGTATGTGTTGCGTGTGTGTGTGCCGTGTGTGTGTTGTGTGTGTGTGTGTGTGGTGGTGTGTGCGTGTGGTTGTGTGTGTGTGTGTGTGTAGTGCGTTGTGCGGATGCCGTATTTTATATTTCTGAGCTCTACAGTATGTAAACTTCATATCTACTAATTACGAATCATGCGCGAGCGTAGGCAGCAAGTATTGGCAATGTGACAATCAGTTATAAAACGTGAGCGTTGTAAGTGGCGCGACCAGGCAACAGTAAATCGCATATTTTTAAAAATTAAGAAGTCTATCGTACCGAATGTAAAATGATGACCTTATAAATAATTTGCTTTCAGGCGTCAACATCTGAAATGAAACAGTGGGTGCCCCGACCACGTGCTGTTAACAGGCGTGAGGGCGATAATCAAAATACATTTTTGTGCAAACCGATGGCCGCCTCGCAGTTCGGAACAGTTCGAATTCGGAAGTTTGATACAACTTATATAATAAATGTACCACGTTTTTTTCATTCACAGTTTAAGCTCCCTATTACTATATATACATATCACAGATATATATATATATATATATATATAGGCTAAAGCTCACCAGCACTATACAGCAGCTAGTGATGATCCGACAGTTTTGAAACATGTAGCAGCTGCGTGCGCCACGACACGACGTGGCGAGGTTCATTTTTAGAACGCGGCCTCACGCCGGAGTATTATGTTGCAGAGTTGCCCGACTTCAACTACCGCATAAGACAGCTTCATAAAATGGCGCACTGCGCTGAAACTTTCTGTTATCTTGTTGCCATCGCAAGAGGTTACTGTATATCAGAAACTTTTAGGCTAGAGAAAGTATCTCGAATACGATGAGAGCGTTTGGCTTATTATGATAACGATTTGTTGATATTACGCCTATATATTCAGTCCATTGCCTAGATGACCTGAATAGTTGTTATTTAGAATGCGGCGGGCCTACCGATGGTTTCATGTTTCTCCGATAGCTCGGTAACTATATTCGTCTAGATTGAATATAACTGAATAATTAGGCCAAGCACGAAGTAAGAATAGAATTGACGCATTACGCTGCTAATATATTTTATTATGTGCAAATCGTTCATGAAGATACTATATATTCATACAGATGCTACTTGTCAATACTCATCAATAAGTATGTTTATAGAACTATGTCGGTATGTATTAAATTCTGACTAAACGATATTAGGTTAGTTTAATATAAAAGTTTAACTTGGTGATGAACATGTAAAGTATTTTCAATATATGTTTATATAATTATATATATATATATATATACACTCCTGATATATATATATATATACACTCCTGATATATATATATATCTAATTTATTTAATTCACATACTTCTCGCAGATTTACATTTTCTGTATTTGGATTTCATCGTACACAAATTTTCATTATCATATTCTACTTATTATTATTAACCATTTGGATACAAGATAAAAACGATAACCATATGCTACTAGGAGTGTATTATCTTTATTAATCTACTCTTTGTGCTATATTACTGAACACTTGATTAATGAAATAATTTACTGAAATAATTCATCGGTCGCGTAAAACACATACGCATTAGAATATACCCAAGCACGTGCACACCCATATTAAATACAGCCATAAACACAAACACTGGCACATGCACGGACACAAACAGAAACACGAACGCGGGTTGGCCACAACAAGGTCCGTGCATGTGTTGTGTATGTGAGTGTGTGCGTGCGTGTCTGATTCCGCGTAAGTGCCCGCACGTGTGTGTGTGTGTGTGTGTGTGTGTGTGTGTGTGTGTGTGTGTGTGTGTGTGTGTGTGTGTGTGTGTGTGTGTGTGTGT